GTTAGTCCTAGGTTCACCTTGCTTTAGGCACCACCTGTCGTAAGCCAACTGAACGACCATTTGTGCCCATCCATCAGGTCCAACACCATACGTCTTAATCTCGGCCTTTCCATAATCCGTGAGGTGATAAGTTAAAGCCTGGCTTCCCACAAGCTCGTCACTCCTCGTCTTGGCAGCAGCAATCCTCTGTTCCAACTCGGGTGTGACGTCAAAATCGAGGGGTGTAGGTTTGGCATCTACAATAGAGGTGGGTCCATGGTCAAAAGAGGGAGAGTAGACGGCATCCAAGACTTCATCGCACATCCTCGTGGTGGGTGTGCCGTCCATAACCGAGTGCTCGCCAACGATACCCATTTCGCCATTTGGAGCCAGGATGAATTGCACAGGTTTGTCCATCCATCTATTTGAGATCAGCATTAAAGATACAAACCCCACCAAAAAGGAGTCAGATACCTGTTTCCAAGTTGATTTTCCTTGCCAGGTAAGCCTCCGTGCCAGAGGTACCTCGAGAAGGAAACAGGATCAGAACCCGAAGCTGTCGAATAGGATGTCCCGTTTCCGTTGGGGCCCTTTGAAGGCTGGGCGGATGGCTCGGGTGAGACATCGTCGATGCACAATACGAAAGCCGCCGAATGAATGTCGTGAACGACGCCCTTATTCTGTTCAGAGATTAATGCCAACGCTTCGTAATCATCTGCCCAAGAATCCCTATCGCTAGCCGTCAAGTTACCCACAGCTGGTGCGGTGTTGGTAGTTTGCTCCACGATATACCGCAACTGTGCCTCGAGTTCCGCAGTGGAGAGTAGCCTTCTCGATTTTGTCTTGGCGTCGACAACTGTATTCGGAACTTTCCAGGGACGATTCTTTCGGAGGACGATAAAGTGGCCGTCAATGCCCACTTCCTGCGACTTTTCAGCCGGCGAGAAACTGAGGGCATAGTCACTGGGTTTATGAGGAACCCTACACGCGTCAAACATCCACCTCCATGTGTCCATACAGATGGGCCCTTGTTTCGTGGCGTCGGCAGGGATCAGGCCATTGAGGAGGCGGTGGCGGAAGATAAGGGCAGAGCGGATGGTTGATGCAGCACGCTGGATGGCGAAGGGTGTGGGTGCTGTGGGGTTAGTTGGGTTGGTGGAAAGAGGTGTTGGTGCAGATGGTGGCAAGTCGAATCCATCTAAGCGAGTGAGAATAAG